ATCCAACAAACATAATCAAGACCAAAATAACAACACTTACCAATAGATTATTTAAATCGAATCGAATTACTCAGAGCATGAAAAATGAATTTTCATCAATCGACGGTCTTCCAAGATTAAAAGAACAACCTAGAGTGCATAGATAATATTATACAATGCGGTCAATTTCAGTACAAGAGATACAATTCTCTCACCTACATGAAGATAGGCATTCCCATTCATTCAACAATTAAGAGAAACAATCTAGAATTGAATAAGTAACATATTCGAATTCATTCCCGAAATATCTAAAATTAAACTAGTCCAAGATGAACACTTTATAAAGTTTGGATGTACAAGATTTATTTAGATACGTACCTGTAATAACGGGTGGATCGAAAGTTTTCGCACAAAATGTTTGTTCATTTTTGGCCTGCTTGAAAGTATTTCAGATGAGTCAAAAACTATGGGTTAAGACCAGAATTTTGTGCTCTCTCCGAATATGTGCTCATAAATTTTGTGTCTGTTTTTGCTTGAGAGTAATAAGGAAATCTTGGAAAGGCCTAAAAAATTAGTTTGGACGAAAAATTTTTCCGTACATTTTCGTATTTTCAGTATTGGGATCCGAAACCAAAAGTTGGAACTTTTGTTGATATATCAGCTTGTAGAGCAAAATCTGCTCTACAAAATGGACTATTTGAGTTTCTTTTTGTCTTCAGATAAGGCATCTAAATTTTCGTTTTCCTATCACCCTCATTTTTGAAGAATCGATTTTTTGACGAAAGGGCGTTTTACATCGAAAGTAGCTCCCGAGAAAATGCTAATAGCTTCACTTGGGTATAAGCTACGGCTTAGTTTGATATCACATTTTGTAAAGAAGGGTCCACTCTACAAAATTACCGACTCTGACAATTTTTAGCACCTTCGCAAAGAGACTTATGAGGGTTAGCAAAAACCTGTTTGTTCGCCGTCCAAACCAATTTTTTAGGCCTTTCCAAGATTTCCTCATTACTCTCGAGCAAAAACAGACACCAAATTTATGAGCACATATTCGGAAAGAGCACAAAATTCTGGTCTTAACCCATAGTTTTTGACTCATCTGAAATACTTTCAAGCAGGCCAAAAATGAACAAACATTTTGTGCGAAAACTTTCGATCCACCCGTTAGGAGCCATTGATACAGCTCTACATAGAATAAGTAATTTGAAAAATATTTGTGCATCAAATTTAACTAGAATAGATCTAAAATAATTATTATTAATATCATTAAACAATAATTATTCCCAGTTTAATAGGAAATATTACAGACAAGATCAAGCTTTATCCATGAGTAACACTTTATCATCCATTCTAGCTAATCAATACATGGATGAATGCATCAAGAAAAATCCAGAAACGATTAATTTACTTTTTAAATTCTGCAGGTATGTCGATGACACTCTTAAAATAATCATACTGAATAAAGAACAAGTTGAGTCATATGTTGAAGATCTTAATAAAAATAAAAGTAAAATTAGATTCATTTATGAATATGAAATCAATGATAATACGACTACCCAGTCAGACAAGCAACGAAAAAAACGCCGTTTTTACGCGTAAAAACCGCACATTTTTACGATTTTATTTTCGTTAAAATTTTACGCGT